TTTGGTGTTTTAGTGGTGGGCATCCAGGTTGATGTGAAGTCTGTCCCGGTTGTGGTGTAATAGTGGTGTTGGTGGTTGTTCAGTGGTGGTTGGATAAGATAGTCGTGCAAGTGGTTGTTGGTGGCGATGACATTGGTGTTGCGTTTCTGGTCATGGTCGTGGTCCTGGTAGTTGTGATGGTTTCTGCCAGTGGTTGTGTCGACGATGGAGACAGTTGTGTTGGGGTGGTGGCGGTGCTTTGTTTTGTTGCTGTGGGTGGTGGCGATGTTTTGTGTGGTGATGATGGCTGAAGTAGTGCTAGTGGTATGTGACCAAATATTTGTTTATCTGTGATCAAGTATTTAACTGTGACCTAAAAATTTGAAATTGTGTGACTGAAAAATAATCTGTGACCAATGAAATTAACTATTTTTTTATCTATGACCTAAAAATTATATAATCTGTGACCGTAAAAAAATCTGTGACCAATTATTTTGGAAATCTGTGAACATGTGACCTATAAATTTTGATCTGTGACCAACTAATTTTGAAATCTGTGACCAACGAATTAAATGTGACCTATAAAATTTTGAATTGTGACCATAAAATAATCTGTGACGTATAAAAATTATTATTTGTGACTGAAAAATAATATATGACTAATTAAATTATAAATTTGTGACCGAAATGATTGTCAGAATAGTCGGTCAGAATGATCGTTGGAATAGTCCCGGAGCGATAGGGGTGGTGCATGTGGGGTGGTTTTATTATATTATATTAGAATTTTAAAAAAAAAACCGAGTTTTGAATTTTCAAACTATAAACATGATTTTTAAATTTGTGTAAACTAAACACCTTATTTATGATTTTTTCTCTTTCATAATCTCCTATGAGTTCCCAGGTGACCTCCACCAACAACATTTGCAACTCAGTACCAACATATACATGCACATAAATCAATCAAAATTAACCAAATTTTATCAAACCAAATGAAAGAAAGTCGAGAGAGCCCACGAGCCACATGATAAGAGAAATTCTTGATATCTTTTGTAATTTAATACAGATTAGGCCATCAAAAGTCAAAACTTTTTAGTTGGTCTCGATACAAATTTTAGTTTAATTTACTGGGTCCGTTTGATTGCAAAGGTTGAAAACGGATGGAAAGAAAATGAATTCCAGAGAAAGTAATTGTCTAAAAATTATTTTGTAGGGAATTGTTAATTTAGTATGTTTGATTGGTATAATTTTTCACCTGGAAAATTTTTAAATTTTGTGTTCGTTTGACTTTGTTTTATATGGAAATTGTCCATTAAAGTGAAAAAATTTTCCACGATTGGTTATCAAATTTGTTTCCATTACCAAAAAGTAAAAAAAAAAAAAAATTCCTAAAAAATCATTTTTTTTAAATCAAAGTTTAGTGTTCGTTGACATTATTTTGCATAAAAAAATTGTCCATTAAAATGATTTTTTTTTTTACAACTAGTTATGAAATTTGTTTTCATTGTAAAAAAAAAAAAACATAGAAACCATTTTCCCACCTAAATTGTAGGAAAAAAAATTCAAGGAAAAGTTAGAAATTGTCACCATGTGAGAGAAAGTGACAATTCCAATTTGTTTGAACGTCGCTTTTTGAAAAAATATATTTTGCAATAGTACTTTTTGAAAAATATATGGTTAAAAAATATGAAAAAATTTGTGTGTAATTTTTTTTTTTTAAGTAAAAATGTATATGTGAAAATGAGTTTTTTGAAAAATGAGGCTCGGATGTATGTTAAATTATAAGGAAATCTACTAACTTATGGTTGAATGGCGAAAGTTGAGTGACCAATTTTGAGATAAAAAACAATCTTAATAACTTGAATTAGAGGTGTCCAAAAGTCCCGAATCGAACCGGACCGAATCGAACCGAATCGAGCGGTTCTTCATAAATTAAATACCCGAACGGGTGCTCGAATCGAGAACCGATGGGTTTGGGTCGGGTCTCGGGTCTAGACCAAGAATCGAAGATCCGAATAAGAATCGAAACTAAATAATTTTTTTATTTTTTATATTGAATTAATTACATTATTTTTTTTAATACAAATTAATTAAATAAATTAGATTATTTCATAATTTTAATTTTAAAGCTCAAATCATTTTTAAAATCCATTAACCCATTTTAATTTGAAACAAATGAATATACTTTATACAATTTTGCTGTAATATTAATATCTACTATTTGGTATTTGTATGCATTGAATTAATCTTATTGGACGGTTAGTTATGTATATGTTTTTGAATTGGGCTACGTTAATTTGTAAAAGTTACAAATGAAATATCATTAGTTGTATTTATGTAGTGTTGCTGAAAATATTTAAAAAATT